ATTTGAAGTCGTTCTAGAAAGAAAAAAAGAGTGATTTAGATTTAATTAGATTTTTTTTTGGTTGTTACAAGGTCGGTCAAATTGACCTAACCCATTTTGAGTTAGAGTAGAGAAAATAACAGAGGAAATATAAAGTTTTACTGGAAAAAAGTGTTTGAAATGTATTTAGGAGGTTTTAGGGATTACACAAAGGATTTTTGAGATAAGGAAAAATATTTTTAATCTTAACGTGAAAAATTACTTTGCACATTGACTATTCAAAATAAGTACTCAATATATTCATGGACAAATCTTTATTATGGTTTATTAAAAATACTTCATAAAAAATATGATTTTTTGAATGTGAAAGACTTATAACGCCAACTGAAAGACTGCCAGATTTTGTGAAGATATACACACTACACTATATTGAGAGTTAAAAGTATTAAATCTATAAAGATTTTAAACGAGTACAAAGAGGTCATGTAGTCAGTCAAATCAACTGACCCCATGTTGAGAGAGTTAAAATGGATGATTATAAAAAGCACGAAGGACAAGATGTAGGTTGCAAATTCTGGAGAAAAACCCAAACGGGGAGTACAGAGCAGTGGAGAATGGAACAAAATAACATAACCAGGAAGTGAGAATGTAATGCAGAAGCAAAATCAGTAAACCAAAAATGGAAAACAGATAGGTCTCTGTTAGAAGGCTAAGTGAAAAATGACGGAGACAAAGGAAGATGACACCAGAAACCATTACAGAAATGGAAACCATGTGAAAATTGGCCAAGATGGAGGCACCAGCTGAATTCAACACCTAGAATTCTAAACTACTGACAGGACATAATGAAGACAACAAATGGGCAGAATGGCTAGTCAAATCCTGACAGAGAGTATCCACTGCACACCAAGAAATGAGGAATAGGAGACCAAAAACGGGTATGGTGTGTATCAAGATGAGTTGCAAAAACATCCAAATCAGGTATATCCCAAAACACAACTACACCCAAAAAACTAGAGGATCCAGAATCCTGTCGGGGTGGGATAACCAATCTGCGAACAAATTCATGGCCTTGCGACGATAACATACCCACAAAACAATACAATGATAGTGGGCCCAAAATACAGGAGATCCAAAGTTCGAAAGCAAAGGACACTTGGCCAGATGCTCCCATGCATGATGATGTAGAACCCTACCGTAAAAGTGTCAGAGTGAAACATCACCATTTTGTCCCATAGTGCCAGTAGAAAGGAAAATACTGTCCAACAAACAGCAAGAATGTCAAGAGTAATATGGAGAATGGAGTCAAAATGAGTTCCCCATCCTGAAGTCTCCCAAGTGTCAAAAGATGCTCCTCAAATGGAAAAAGAAGCATTTGGAAAATGTGACAATATGGATGAGGAGAAGGAACCCCATCAGCTATTAGTGGTCCTATGCAACCAACAATCAATACAGACTGTTAGTGAGGGAAAAGGGTAAGAGGAGCATCCAAGAGATCCCGAACAAGACAATATCTGGTGATCCAAAAACCCACAAAGGATAGTGCATGTTGGTGCAAACAATAGGAACTAGGGCTGTGAGAGAAGCCCATGTTCCCAAAAGAGAGAAAACTGCACCTGCAATAAGGAAATGAAGAAGATTAGAAGCCACTTATAGGATGTACCAGGGCTATAAAACGAAGGGGAGAAGGTTGGTTCCAACTGAGAATTGAGAAAAAAAACACACATTAAGAAAACTAGAAATTGATCAGGTGTGATGAATGAAATCTCCACTGTGATGAGCAAACCCACACAGGCAGCTTTCTGAAGAAGAAACTGAGTATGGAGAGCAGATATGGCCAGTGAGGAAGCTAAAAGTATTCTGCCATCCCTGGAAAAGTGTACACTAAGCTCAAAAAAGGAAGCAGACGAGCAAAGGTCTAGACCACGCAGCTGAAAAAAAAGAACACCCTAAACTCACATCAGTCAGAAGTGGCTCGAGTCTTACTTCTCCAGGGTTCCTTCTGTGAGGAGATCATTCTCATTAGGGGTTTTCACTTCTCTTTTGTAGATGACATAGGTCTGTGTATCAGATACTTGCCTCCATTTTTCCGTTTCCTCAGCAACCAGGTATTTTCCTTCATTTTATTATTTACTGGGAATAAATGGGATCTCACTGAGGGTGAAATAAAGTGGATGATGATATAACAGAAGGAACAAGTGGAAATGGAGTTATGGAGACTTGCTGAAACAACTCGATCACCAAATAGTTAGGAAGACCCCCAACACCTCGTGATAGAAAAAAAGGTGCCATGTACAAAGCCCACAATGAAAAAGGGGAGTAAAAGACCCCTAAATAATATAGGATCCCAAACTAAAAGATCCCAACTTCATAGCAGCCATGTCTGTAAAGTGAGACTGAAGAGGAAAATCGTGCTATTGTAGCATAAAGGAGACAACTATGATGAACAGAAAAACAAATAATGAAAATATAGAACCATTCCAACTAAAAAGTAAAGGGAGAATGAGGTACAGACAATAATGGATAATGTAATAGATGAATGAAAAAGTTCCGAAGTAGGGAAACACAACTGAAGCATCAGGATCCAAACCCCACACTGTAAGAAAGAAAGATCCAAAGGTGAATTGAATTATGGGTAGATGGAATGAGAAAAGCAAAAATATGATAGGCCAACATACACGGGGGATAAAACATACTGACATCCAAAAGTGAGTGCACTGAAAACAAGGATGAACCCCATTATCTGGATAAGAAGGAAAACCAAAGAATACCCAAAGATTAATCTCCAATGAGAGCATGGCTAAATTCCAGGGAAATGGGAAACAAAGTTAAAAAATAACATACCAGAGGAAACAATGGCTACAAAGAGTGAACAAAGCCTACATAAGACCCCCCAAAAATGACACGTTACAGATAAGCATATTCAAAAAAAAACTGCCCTAAGTCACATCAACCTATTTAGACACTGTTATGACATGCTACTCAATAGGTCACACATAATGTCCCACAAAATGGTACATTTCCAGACAGAAAGTAGCTGTTATGCCCATAGCTGACAACTGTGTTATCGTTCCCTATGATTTGAACGGGAAATCTGCCGTAGCAGCAACAGCAGTGACCACCTCAAACTGTGAGTGCGTAGCTCACAAAGTCTAAAACAAAAAACTAGAAAAGGGAGAGTAGATAATGAAATTTTAATTGCAACTCTCCATGAAAAAAAAGGGAAAAATGGCAGTGACTAAATAAGAAAACACTCAAAAGTAAAAACTCGTGGAGATAATAACTAAATCGCAAGCGAAAAGACACATGTCTGTACAATAAGAATGCTAATCAAAAAGTGATTAACAGGTGCATTATTAGAGAGGGCACTACTTACAATAGGCATAGTGTCACACCCCTATTGGTAGAGGGTTGCTGCACGATCATTTGCGTGTAGATATGCAGAAAGAAGTGAGGGTTACAAGGCTAGTGTTCAGCAAAAAGTTTGCACAAATAGAGGGCAGTCCTAATTGAGAAAGCTTTTTTGTGAGAAGGGGTAAAATATCTTATTGGAAGTTCTACATCATTTCATAAAAAAATGCAGTAGCATCTGTACAAAATATTCTAGTAATAACAGTAACACCCACGCTATTGAAAAATTACTGAACAAAGTACTTACGAATTCTTCCTCGTTTACAATCCGTATTAAAGTATAATTGAACTTCTCCCAACTTTTGTTTAATAACAGTTGATAAAGCCACATATCTTTTTCTCAAATGCTGTACTTTGGTCAAAACCAAACATTCCATAAGCATGTAACCAATGTCAAATAATATTATGAACATATTATTTCAACTTGCCAATAGACTTGCCAAATTGTAACTCATTGTCTGCTGAACTTGCATTATGACACATCACCATACCAACAAAGCAAAGACTAACACTCGTATCGAGACAACTCTCAAATTATTGTGTACATTTACAATGTTGTATGTCTTGTGGTTTTCTCACAACGTATTTGATACTTTTAAATATTTTCTCAGTTTACTGTTGTAATTCCTCCAAATAAAGACATTTTGAAAAAAATTACAAACCTTATGGGCCAAAAAATTTAATATTTCAACATGGTTTTCTGCCTCTAAGTTTTCTATACAATAACTCACACCAATTTTTAAAATAATATTTAAAACAATAATTGAATAACTGTTCTGAATAGCTTTATTTGTTGTTAAGGATACTGTCAGGTAAAATCAAGAACCAGTTTTTTTAAGAATTTTATTCACTTTAGAGTGTAAATATTTGGATTTATATTCCTCTTTTTCTTTTCATCAACAAATTTTAGGCAATAACTGATGAAGAATGTAAGCTAGTAATGTTGTTAATTATTTCTGAATTATTTATACTGAAGAATTAATTAGGAAATTTCCAAAACTTTCATTTTCTTTATCTTACCAGCAATTTTTTGACTTTAGATTTTTGCTAAATGAGTCTTGAGCTTATTTTATGCTAAGAATATCATTCCAATGATAGTCACATGATACTCGTTTGCTTGCAAATGGAGAAACTTAGTTCAAAACCTGATACTCACAAAGTCAGCGTATTTCTTATTGTAACGGTCACATTTTCTAGAGATAATTTTTTGCTAAACTCAGATAAATACAATAGTACAGCTTGTCATCAATAAAAATGGGGGATGTACAAGTGATGGTAATAGAATTTCAAGAACGTTTTCAAGACCTCCTGGTAATATGACTGATTTTTCAGGATTTCCAGTACTAAAAACTTGTTTATAAGATTCCAGAATTTCATGGCCTTTTCAAACCCTGCAAAGAGTTCATTTATGTGAAATATAATTAGAAAATAATACAAACTTAACCCTTTTATTTCATAACTTTTAAAAAGTAGCTATTCTTTTACAGTTTGTGATAATGAGGATGAATAACTGAAGCCACATCAGCTATCCATGCATTTTCATAACATACACAAATGCACATGTTCAAGAATCATCAAGAAAATGACCACAATTAAAGCTTGGTACATACGGTCGACAGCCATCCTTTATGGAATCACCAAGTATAAAATATCCTTGAATACACTTCTGACAGTGTTCGCCTTTAGTATTATTTTGACAATTGAAGCAAACAGCACCTCCAGTGGAACCTTCTAGAACCAAGTCCTTAATGTCAATGATCTGTGGAGAAAAAAAGTATCATGACCAGAATTTGTTGTAGAAAAACATTTTAAGTTATCCAAATTCCAGCAAAGAAACATCATCACCATTTCAAGTTATCCATAATTTTGTGTTTTATCCTTATGAAAACTGTGAAGGAAAACAAAAATCATCGCCATGATAACAACTTAAACTCCAGCCTAGTAGTTAGTGTTAATAATTAAACAGGATCTTTCATTTTATATCAGAAGACACATACACATAGTAACAAATATATCTATTATTAATCATTATGTTGATGAAGAAAATTCAAAACTATTAGGCTTAAACTGTAACTGCTAGTAATAATATCACTATAAAAATTTTGAAATATAAAGTTTCTGACTCAGTAAGAATTAATAAATATATTTTCATTATATTCTTTTTACTTCTTATTGCAATTACTAAAACACAGATATTCAAGCAAAGCCAACTTACATCCATTGGCTGCATAGTAGGAAGGGTGTTATTCAACAATGCAGAGTCAAAGCAAATGTCAGTGTGGCCATTACAATACTCTATACAAGGGGTGCATTTAATTTTTTTGACAGGATCACCTACAAAAAATGGTTTACACTTCTCACACTGAGAACCCTGGAATAAAGAAAACAAATAGTTTCAGATGTCAGCAGAAGTGTTCATCATTTAGTCACTTACATGCAAGGGCCCTAGGGAAGAAAGTAATATAATGATTGGAGGCAGACAGAGACTTAGAATATGTGTGACAATATCTTCTTCTATCACAAATACTAGAGATAATAGGGAGATTTAAAAAAATATCAGGGAAGTCAAAACAAGAGAGGGTTGCTGGAAATTAATATTTTCTTGCACTGAAAATGTATTTCTGATAGGTACTTAACTCCACTAACAAAAATCTATCTTAATCTTCCTTCTGCCCCCTAAGTATTGCTAGAAAATGTTAATTCTCAGCACACCAATCTGTATACCTCACAAATTTTGCACCACTTTTTGAACCTGCATGTAGCATGTGACAACCCTCCACCAATAGTATTGCACCACCTATATTGGCAAAACTAGCTTCCTCTAATGTTCCTGCTCAACTCCTACTTTCAAGAATTGGCAGGATCTAAAAAGAATAACACCAGCTGAGGGAAGGAAGGGTGGGAAGAAGGGCCAGTGTAGGCACCTAACAGTGAAACCAAGTGGAAAGTGACTGCCTAGAAACAACTGGTGTGCTCAGAGATGAAACCGATGCACATATGTGGGGCTCCACACTACTTCTGGAACAGGTAAGCTCTACACCCCATAAGAATAAAATGAACCTGATACAAGCAGAAAAAAAAAAAAAGATGTGCACACATTTAATATGTTCTGAGAGACGCAATCCATTGTAAAAAATTGCATGAGTTTGAATCGTCCTACATCACACAAACCAGGCCAGAACACAGTCAGCTCCCGCAGGTGAAGAGCAGCCCTATCAATTTAAAACTCAAAGCGAACTCAATATCCACATTAGGAGAAACAGCAATTCAAAGGAAAGTTCACCAAAAGCTAACAATGGAGAAAAACAATTAGCCTTGGCTAGATATCTACCCAACATCAACTGGACAGACAAGGTCCCACGACCTGTACTCAACATTAGGAGGTTGAGAACCACCCAGATAAAAAAGAAATTACAGTAACATAAACATTGTGATTAAGACATTTTTAATTGAACATGACGTGTGACATATGTTCCTATGGGTGTAACATTCTGTCCTGTATCATATCAATATCTGGACATTAATCAAGTTCCTGAGACTTATAGAAATGATATTGGATGTATCACTGGCTTTGAAGATAGACAGTAAGGAATGTTAATATAATGCTTGATATATGTTTCATACAACAACTTGTTTCATTATTTCTTGCAACTGTAGTGAATTGATGCTGCTGATTAAGGCAGCTGCAGTGGCTTTGTTTAAATTTTTTCCCATCAGCAAACTTCTGCTGTTAGCTACGAATATTGTATTACTTTACTTAAAATGCTCTATTTATAAAAGACTTTTTTATACAGTTTAAGGTTTCTTACAACATATACTATTGTTTAAACTGTTATTATTATTGCTACAGATGATGTAGAAATATTGTACTTTAAAACATTAACAAGGTGTCAAAACTTTTTGAGTAAAATATTAAAAGAGAAATACTTTGATAACCAGAATTTTTTACTATTCAGCACTGCCCAGGACAGATAATAAAGCTTTTACTGTAAAAGCTTTCCCCTTACATGTTACCTATATTTCAACAGTTACTAGAGACAATACTATACCTAGAAGTTAAAAAAAGATTGTTTAGTTATATTTTCATTAAAAAGCATCAGGAACGATACATATTGAACAGAATAATGTAGATTATATTGCTCCCCAAGAAGCAGTGTGTATATATATATATATATTTTGTTACATTACAAATGGCACGCATCCTGCAAAAATATGTGATAAATGATAAACATAAAAGTGTCAAAATGTATGAACTGCAGCTTCTAAAAGTAATGTTTATAACCAATATCAACCGAAAATTTTCACTTGAGAGTAGTCATATTTTCAAAAAAACATAAATAATGTACAATATCATTCTTTTTAAACTATTTTGACAGTTTTCCTAATGTAACGGCAGTTATTAGTTAATTATTATTTATTGTAATCCAATTGGCTCTATAATTTTGCCACTTTTTATTTAAATGAACCCCCTACATTTTCATTTGCTCATGGGCCATTTGGTGGAGGAACGGGAGAAGTTTTATTGATAGTAATTTATTACTTCCTCAGAAGGGACAGACTGAACTATGGGAGGGAACTAAACTGTATGGTTCTCCTCTTTGGACTTTGAACTAATTTCGACAGGCAAGATGCATGTATCGTTTGTTTCAAAGTATGTTTAAAGATGACACTATGTAGCTTTCATGTGATACATTGTCTCCACCCTGCAACAGCATCTGTTAGAACAGCCCAAAGGAAAAGGAAACATTTAAAAGACCAAATACCTGAAAAACCAGTTGTCGAGTGTGACAGACCAAAATAAGAAGGTGCTGGAAAAAGAGAATTCAGTTTTCTTCTCCTGGATTATATTCATCCTCAGAAACATTGTCAGGTTGAAAATGAGAAGAAATCACTGGCCAAATTTATGAATCTAATTCCTTGCAAATTAAGGCCTGTATCTCCTCAGCAGATAAAGCCAAACCTGATGCCTGGGTAGTTGTACTGGAAGCATTGTCTACCATAATGGGAATTTCTGTTGTTGACATATTGAATTGTGAAGTCATTCTAAGTTACCACATAATTTGGTAACAATAAACAAAATCAAAAAGAAAATCGTTGAAAAAGGTATTGAAATGTCAATGAAGTACAATCGTAAACGGTAGTCACATGCAAAAAAAAATGTCTAAACAATGCTATGCCAATCAAAAAAGTGAGGATTGAGCAGGAACATTAGAGAGAGCTAGCTGCGTCAATATAGGCGGCACAATACTATTGGTGGAGGGTGGTCACATGCTATATACATGTTCAAAAGTGGCACAAAATTTGTGAAGTATATAGACTGGTTCACTGAACGTAAAAATTATTTTGCAATGCTTAGGGGGGAGAATGAAGATTGAGATAGCTTTGTGTGAGATGAGGTAAGACTGTACTGGAAGCAGACATAGACTCACAATACCAATGGGCACAATAAAAATGTTAATGAAGAACTTCAGTTAAGTTATTAAATTACTTCATCTAATACTTTGGTCTAAAAGTTAATCTCTTTTTCTCTTTCTAAACTAAACCTTACTTTTAATATTGACTTTGTTCACTTGCAACATACTTTGCAAATTAAAATACAAATGTCCCTACCTGAGTATTATTGTGACATTCCAAACATTCATCCAGCCTGTCTACCCCAGCACAGTTACTGTGATCATTGCACTGACACTTGGTAGAACAATTCTGTCCCACGTATCCAAAGTGGCACTTACAAACATTTGGTTCCACACATATGCCATAAACACATCCCTGGTTACAAACTGCCATACAATGTCCCCTAAAAAATATATACTATCCATAATGTAGTTTATACTTAATGGCTGACATCTCAATAAAATACATGAAATTTTCCAAATGCTGGTTGAAATGAAATTAATGTTTAATCTGGTGAATCTGGGGGTTGGGGGTGGGGGGGGAGAGATAATATATATAAGTTATATATACAAGTTACTAGGAAAATCAAATATTTTCAAACAATCCTTTTTTTCCCTTTGGATTCCGACTATCATTTATTTTCTTACTTATATTTCTTGAATATTGGGCTACTGTTTCAAACATGTATGTCCAATAGAGCTAGGAGATTAGATGAATTTGCTAATCGATTAATTGTCAGACACATTGATCAATTACACTTACGTGAGACTCGGTTAGTTGGAATAATCAGAAACACTAATTTAAGTCAATTGATTATTTCTGTGAGTCACAACACTATTTAACTAAGCTGAACAACCTTAATCAAAAACATTAATAACCAGAAACACTAGTTTCAATTTATAGTTGATTATTTTCATGACATTAATTGATTTAATCATAATTTCAATTAATAAATTATTTTACGTAGGACTAATCAATGTAGTTTATGCTCATGGGTAATCAATTCTTTTGATTAATAATGTTAATTACCCAGCTGTAAATGTCCAATTTTGAAACAATATAAATATGACAGAATGTGCTGACATACACATTTCTAGTATGTATTTGTGTGTGTGTGTGTGTTTCTACACTTTATTTTACATCATTTTTGCAGAATTGTTTTGATCACACAAGTCTCTGATAACACTTCATAATTAGTTTACTAATTCAGAAAACGTAATGCACTCAAATGTGTGTACCATGCTTCACTTAAAATCATTAGACAACATCAACGAAATGTTTTTCATAAATTCACAAACATTCTTTACCTATATATTTTAACAACAGTGATCTTTATAACACACAGCATAATAATATGCTCTTTATAACACACAGCATAATAATAAAATCAGAGAGACTTCCATAAAAAGTTACATCAACAGCAAGTGAAAACTGACAATGTTTTTACAAGGTATCATTAACCCTCTCTGCACAGGCATCCTTTACTGCACAGGTCACGAGATGTTTAGTGACTTACATTCAAAATTTAATCAAATTACTTTTTGTTTACGTTATACCAATTAGTATAGCATACAATCGTAGCTAATAACCCATTTTTAATACAACTTTTAAGTTCTTAATTTGATAAGACAATATCATAAAAAAAACCTGAATTTCCCTTAGTGTGAGAAGTGTGACTTTTTTCTCTAGGCATCCCCCCTTTTCTGTAATTTATTCACCATCTCTCCAATAGGTACAAAATTTAATGTTAGTTACTCACTATCAAATCATTATCGCTCAGACAAAGAATAATTTTTATAGCCTTCAATCTTCTTTGGTTATAGAGCCATCAAATAGAAAATCAGGTCTTACTTGTCACACCCACCCGTCACATCCTCCCTTTCAGGATTTGCTAATAGTTCTGTCTTACATATAATACTGTATTATTCATAACCAATAGAAAGTGAAAGTGTTCATCTATCAAATGATGCATTATATTACTTTGTTTTCTGAACAGATAATCATCAATTTCACTTGTAGTAGAGGCTTTGTTTTCACAAGAAACATATCAACTAGCTTGGATGAATTTGTAACAGCTCTTGTCGCACAGTTTGAAAGTCAGTAAAATTGTGATATTTATGGGACATTGTCTGCTTTTTGCCATTAGTATAAGAAAGTGGGGTTAAGTGTCATTGATAGCCAACAGCAAAAAAAAGAAGAAGAAAAAAAGAAGACGATGATAATGGTCCAGATGAGTACTTTATTTCTTGTTTTTCATGTGTATTCTTTATTTATTATTATAGAAGAAACTAAAATGTAAAGATAAGGATCTCTTTAGGTTAGTTAAGGTCAGATTAGGTAAAATAAATAATAACAATATAATAAAAAAATTTCACAACGCACGCATGTGAGCAGCTCGGAGTAACTCGTGAGTAATGTAATTTGATAGTATAACATGAACCCCACCCCAAGTGAATATTATTTATGATTTTAATTTTGATTTAATACTTATAATGGCCTGAATAGTGATTAGACAGAGTTCAAAGGGCAATAAAACAAACTGTTACGAGTTTAAAGCCACTTAGGATAAACAAATTTAGTTTCATGTTATAACTTGAAGTCATTCTAAAAAGAAAAAAGTGTAACTTAGATTTATTTCAATTTTTTTGGGTGGTTACGAGATCAGTCAAATTGACCAACCTTGTATACAGGTAGGATAGAGAAAAATAGCAGATAAAATATAAAATGTTACTGAAAACAAACATCTGAAATGTATTTACGAGGTTTTAGAGATTAAGCAAATGAAATTAGAGCTTTTTGAGATAAAGAAAAGAATTTTTAATCTTAACATGAAAATCACTTTGCACTTGGAGTAGTAAAAAAAAAGACTCAACATATTCACGAACAAATCTTCAGCAAAAATACATCTTTAAAAAACCTGATTTTTTGTGTACAAAAAGCTTCTAATACTTCCCAAAAGTCTATCAAATTTTGTGAAGATACACATACTGTATTAAAAGTTATAGCATAAATACTTAACAAGTGCAAATGTGTATACAGACTCTGTATTTTATACTGAGCCTGTTGCGAAATGTTTAAAGTATTCAAGAACAGCAGTACCATAGAAATTATAAAAAAAACATGCTGAACAAACATTTCATTATGTTTTCATTCCTCCTTCAGCATTTCTTTCTACACAGTTAACAATACAAAAAACAGTGTAGTAAAATAATTGTACATTGTGGGTTTAATTTTCTTAAGTTACTAGAATTATCCAGAGTATCCATTTACTTTTAAACTATTTTGTGGGAATACTATTTCACTGTTGAAAGATAAATGTGAATAGAACAAGCAAATGTACTATTTCTGTGGTACTTTTGTTCTTTATTAACTTAAGACTTCAGCCTTATTCTTATTTAACTTACCTGTACAAAAGCATTCTTACTTTGTTTAATAGAAGCATCAATAATTTTTGACCTTATGCAAGAAGTGTTAGCTGGTGAGTATATAGAACAAAGTCATTTAACTATAAAACTGAGCAACTGCACATGTATTTTATTCAAAATAGCTTAGATTTTACAATTCTTGAGTTAATCAGTTAACTACAGCAAACTTTATATATCCCATCTAAAAAACAACTCCTCTTAAAATAAAATAAAACTTCAGTACTACTTCAAGTTTTCTGCTAAATTTCAGTCCAAATAATTTGTTTCAGGTGTTTTTCATACTATAAATATTTTTCACAAATAGTAATGAGGAAGACTGTCAATATACATAATATTACAGAAGCAAAGCTGGTATAAAAGCTTAAATCATGCTTTCTATAAATCCTGTAGTACAGAGACATCTCAAAAGTAAATAGACACAACGATTTTTTAAATAGTCATTTATCTCACATTATCAACTTGACAAAAATGTTTACAAATGTGCATCAGTACTTAGTCGATTTGCCACTAGCATTTTTCAGTGCTTTGACTCGTTCTGGCATGGAATCGATGAGTCATCTTTCAGTGCTTTGACTCGTTCTGGCATGGAATCGATGAGTTCTACAATTTTCTCCAGTTGGATCTTAACCCAGGCTGC